TACTAAAACACTTGTAGTTTTTGCTCTATTAAACGGAAAATGATAAACTTGGTATTTTTATAAAGCTAACAAGATGGCCCATAAAATAAAATCATAAAATGTTTTGTCAATTTTTGGCTAAATTTACAGTTTTAGGGTAGTCGGATACCTTAAAAAAGTTTGTGGTAACTCAGTCATCCCATGGAACCATTAACATTAAGTTTGAGTGCACGCCTGCTAACGGTTTAAACTAAGGAACATTTAAACGTTGAAGCTTGAACAACAGCTCGTAGAATCGATATAAGTGGAAATGAAAACTAACGAGAGAGTGTTCAATGCTGTGATAACTTTCTGCTGATGTTTAGCCTTTAATCAAAATATTTATTTTCAAATTCTTCGATTTTTTACAGTTCATCGGGTAACACAGTATAATTTATTCAAAATATTTAAAGATATTATTGAGTCCTTCAATACATGAAAATAATTTAGAATATGAATATTCAGGAAAACTGTTCATCATTCTGGCGATTGACTAGCTTGAAACTGCATCTTCGTAACAATAACGTCATTCATTATAATTTGAAATAATTAAGTTATTAATGGAAAATCATTTATTTATACGCAGATGACATCAGGAGTCCGTAATCCAAATTTCAAATTCAATTGCACTTCAATCAATCAAAGGAGAGTTCATTATCCGTCTCACCTAGGAAACCAAATAGTATAGGGTTGGGCAACTTGTTTTGGCTTACGGGACACATTGTGAGATCAGAGGGTACTGGAGAGACGCGTCTTTTTTAAGAGATTACATTCTTGATAAAAAAAAAGAAATTATATTAAATAAAATAACAGCTATATTCGATTTTTTCATCGTGATAACTTCGTATTATCTATAGCTGCAAGCACACATTTCATTTTAGAATTAGTTTAATGAAATAAATGCACCCTTTTTTCACACTATTCTCCCATTTTTTCCCCAGCTCACAAAGATTTGTACAAATTAATTAATGTTATTGTTCGGATGGAATTGTATCTTTCTATTATTCAAATTGTATTTTTGTTATTATTCAAGTTATATTTTCATTATTATTCAAACTGATTATTCAAATTGTATTTTTATTATTATTCAAACTGTATGTTTATTATTAATGTGCTTGGTATGTTCATTTATACACTATATTTAATTTCTATTCAATTATTATTATTTACAATTTCCAGTTTATATGTATGCCGGCTGGGTGGCGTGGTTGGTTTGTCGCTGGTATTCTACACCCAAGGTTGCAGGTTCGACTCCTGCCCAAGTCGGTGGATTTTCTTGATGCAGAAAATCGACAGTGGTCATGCCGTATGGTTATACGGTATGTGAAAAATCCTTAGAGTGTCTGTTTGGCTTGGATGCTCTCGTCAAAATTAAATCCTAGTGCATACTTCACATCGTCAAGAGCTCAGGTGTCTCCCTCTGTGGAGGAAACTGGGCGTCAAAATCGCTTGCTGTAATTGGTATCGCCTATATGGTGCAGCACTAAAAAGTGGTACCAGCTCCTGGGGAATGTACTAGGTCTGCAAAGGTTTAAAATACCAATATATGCGCAGCCCCATTGAAAAAAAAATTATATGTATTTTGTGTAAAGTATTTAGTTTACTGTCATGACTTTTACCAACGCCATCTACTGCATTTGCCTTACGCGTGATGGCAACAAGTTGTTTGTTTCGACTCGTTTGTGTTATACAATCTTTGTAGAATACTCAGTCCCTGTACTCTCTCTTGCAGGACAGGATACCGCCACACGAAGCTGCTGGCATTTGTCTTAACCTTTATACGCAAAATTAAAATTGTCAAGTTTTTAAAGCAAGATTCATTATTTAGACACGTGTGACGGAAAGTTATAGCATAAAAAATTTCTTTCACACTGATATCTGACAAGTCAATAAGTTCAAGATGTAGCTTCTAAGGTGCTGTATCATTACCAGCAGTAATAAAATAACAGAGTAAACAGAATTTAGGATAATTTTTTTTAAATCCTGCGACCTCAAAACTCTGCAGATCATCTATTTGTAGAAACCCTTTTAGTTCTTTATTTTTCAAGCAAATGAATTATATTTTCCTAATAGTGAAAAATATAAGACGATTCATTGGCCGCGCACGGGAAAGAAATCTAGATCCAAACTGGATTTCCTGACAGTCTTTACTGACCGTGAAAAAAACTCTTTTCAGACCACTATTTGCCAATCCTTGAAATAGTAGGACCACGATTTAAACCTTTTGGTTGCTAAACTAAAAATAAATTAAATCAATTTTAAATAATTAATCCAATATTTTACTTGAAAAAGGTAATGCTTAAATGCACCAATGCCTAAATTCAATAATTAAACAGAACAGAACATGAAAATTCCTAAGGTGTTTAAAATGATTTTATTTATATATCCGTTTTGAAAATTCTTCCACTAAGAATGTTTCTGCATTGAAAATTAAATAATGTAATACAATTAAAAACTTTAATTATCTAGAAAGGCAGAAGATGCTGCATCTTAAAATTCGGTGATAATTTCAGAATTAAATAAATATTATGTGACATTTCTGGTTATTAATAGGATTCTTTCCAACTAGATTTACTGGAGAAATCTGAAACAATATTTTTAACTTCATTACTAAATAAAATAATAATGAAGTTCATGGAAGAAAAAAACGAAAATATTCAAAAACTAATATTTTTAGAAGTTTAATAATAATCAAACTAAAGCCGCATTAGAAAGTATGTTTATTTTTAACATATAAATTTTAGAAAAAGCTTAACTTTCTCTTTGTTTTCTGGTGACATCAGAATACTACTAGAGAATTTATTAAATATATATAAAACTAATTTTTTCTTTAAAAAAATTATCAATCCTCGTGAAAAATACAGTAAGCTCACTTTTGCATTACTTTTGATTAAAATAAAATCCGAATAAGACATGTCTTTACTTAGGATAAATACAATTTTAAGATAGACGTTTTAATAAGCAAAGATTTAAAATTACGTATTCAATTCTTACCCTATTACTAAATGCTTCTGTTTCTACATTTAATAACATGTTTCCATAATTAATAGAAAAGTAACTTAATTAAATGAAGATTTGAGGTTGAAAAGACACTTATCTGATTTTAAATTAAATTATGCCAAGAGACAAGTCTTTGAATTCTTCTGCGATTTCCTTTTTTAATAAGATAATATTTGTATAAGATTTATAAAGGCATATGGTGTTGAATAGAAAAAAAATAGTATTTTTAATATCCTTGTAACTTAGAGCTTAAGTCGATGATACTTTGACAGGCTATGAAAAGAAAAAAAAACATGTACTTAAGTTATATGAAATAATTTAAGCTGTCAAATTGAATTTTCTTTCATTTTTTTATTTTAGCTTTAATTTCGTCTCTATGGAAGTTTTATTTCAGTATGTTTATTTTCTTCCTATGTATTGTTAGAATGCGTTTCAACACGATTTTTTATCAATTTAAAAAAAAATTATGACATAGCTTAAAGTTAATATAAAAAATTATTCTAAACTTGTATTTTTTCTGGATATTTAAAAAAGGGAATCTCTGGTTTTTATTCTTAAATATACTTCAAAATTTTTTTCAAGCTCTGAACCGTTATTTCAATCAGTTCGTTTCAAGTTCTTCTTGCATTCATTATTAAAATAAAGCAGGGCTTGTGTGTGTTGTTGGCTTAAGACACTTGAATAGAAAATGAAAATGTTTGAACGTGCACAGAATGTAATTTTTTTTTAATTCATGGGATTTTTCAAGATATATCAAGTGCTTAAGTCAATGCTTCTCAAACTGTGGGGAGCGCCCTCCTGTTAACCCTACTGGGGGAGGGCGAGCATATAAAAAAATCGAAAATGAAAAAAATTCTTAAAAAATAATTACTTTACTGAAAGGAAGCAAAGTAAAATATATACATTTTGACTCAATAAAAAATAATACTTATTAAAAATATAAATGTATCAGTACTGCAAAATATATTTTATATAATTAATTTTTCAGTTTTGAAAGAAAAGGAAAAATGTATGCATTGTAGAACACAGGAAGTCCTTTCCAAGTGATCATCATGATTGAAAAAAGTAGAAAATATAAGGTAACAGTAACAATTATACATTTACGTGGAAACAGAGAAATCTATATTATCCACTCATCATAATAAGTTGGAAAAAAAAAGAATAATTTGTTAAAGTTACACAAAAATAGAAAGCAATCCACAATGAGTGCCGCGCAACAACGTTGGTTGAGGGGTGAGAGGGAAACCAATCTTCCAGTTGATTTAGTTTCTGTTTCGTTTTAGGAGAGCGAAGCGAAAATGACGTCATATCTCTGACAACCATGCCCGTCTTTCAACCGGCTGCCGCATCTGGACGGAACGAAGGGTGAAAAGGGAGGAATTTCGTTAATATCAAAGATTAAAGAGAATATTATTTTTAAGTCCGTTCTCGTTACCTCTTAAATAACTGCGTGCGATCATTGAAAGGAGATTTTAAATAACCACTTGGAAGAAAGTAAGAAAAGGTGGAGAAGTTTAAAATAGGATCAAGTTGCCCCACTAAACGAGGGGAAAAGCTTGCAGGGATGAAGGGGTGGGGGTGATAATTAGAGTGAATGAAGTCTTGCAAAAGAAAAAAAGAAGTGATAAATAACCATAAAACATAAAAAAAACACGATTGATGTAAGAATTTCATAATTTGTATCAAGACATACTCATCCTTTTCAAAGCTGGAAAGTGTTGATATGAGTGGTTAAGAACTACTCTAGGTCTCTTAGAAGAGCTAGGGATAGAATTATCATAAGCCGGGATTCCCTGATGGATTCATTTGGAATCTGTAGTAACCGGTTGAAAAAATTTATGTTTGTTTTTTAAGGAAATCAAGAAGCGGCGGAATGGTTAAGATTTTTAAAACGAATGCTTTCTTTAAAAAAACCAAGGTTATTCTGTTTAAGAAACATGGCATGTTTCTCTAAAATTATCTTATTTCTAAGCGAGGAAAGCCGCAGCCGGGAGGATTCGAACCTGTGCGGAGAGACCCCAATGGATTTCCAGTCCATCGCCTTCACTACTCGGTCACAGCTGCAAGAAAATATTATAAATTTACTTTTTTTCCAAACCTGTATATATTGCTTGTCCAATGGCATAATGAATTTAAACGTAGAGAAAATTCCAGTTTTAATAGATTGATTTATATATAGCAGAATTTTTTTTCACTAACATTGAACAAAACTAAAAAGTTTTGCTTGATTTAAAAGAAAAGAATTATACAAATTTGTAATGCATAAGTAACATATATATATATATATATATATATATATATAAGCTACATAATAGCAAGATCTATAATAGACCAAAATTCCATATATCAAAATTCAAACATATATAGGCGCCATGTAGCCACATGATATGTGAGAATATATATTCAAAATTTCTCTACAAGAGAGAGATTAATTAGCATGATTAATACTTAAAAGAATAGCAATTGCTAGATAACAAGACAATAGAATTTAAATGAAAAACAGAGCAGATAAACAGAGCAGAATATAAAAGAATGAATGCTTCAGTAATATCAACATTGCTGACTTGGGCCAGCTTGTATACAAAAATATTTCTCTTAAAAAAATTTTCTCTGTATAAAATTGGGGTTGAACATGTTTTTCGGCCAGCCAACCTCCCCCCTTTCTGTTAATAATACCGAGCAAATACCAATTGGAAATAATGGATAGTATAACTAAATCCATTATAAGAAAAAGGTAACTTACCTAAAAATTGCATACTGAAATGCAGAGCCCGCGCTAAATCTGAGTACAATAAACAGGTTATTGCCCGATTCTGGACCCAAAAACAATTTCAAAACAAAGCAATGGCTGAAAATTACCACTTAGCAAAAGTATGAAAAGAATAGAAATAATAAAATAAGAATTGTAAACATACTACCATTAACTTAGAGACTCTTAATATGATTTAAAAGTTATAATAAATTTTTTAAAAGTAATTTTATCTAAACTAGAAATCAGGGTATTTAAAACTATCTAGGAAGAATAATAATTCTATAATATTAATCTGTTAAAACTATTTAAATTTAATCCTTACTATTTAGAATTTCTTTATTTAAATATCTATTAATAAATTTAATTGGGTAGTTTTGAATTAAACAGTATTTAGTAAAATGTTTATAGTTTTTTATTATTTCTGATTTATTAGAAACTAGAAATTTACTGCGCAGTGTGTAATTAAGAACAGTCTTTCTGAATATAGATACATGCACATTACTCTCCCAATGCGGTACTTTTATAATATTGAAATTAAAGTCTTCTCGTTTATCATAAATATTAGTAACTATTTTATTATCTTTTAATTTAATTTCTATATCAAGAAAATTTGCTTTATAACTGTAACTATTTGTCTGTATTAAATTAAGATATTTTGGATAAAAATTAATATTAGGTTTAAAGTTGTCTTACTTGCCAAAAATTATTATATCATCAATATAACGAAAAAAGTAAAATTCTAAGTTGTCTGTGAAACTATTTTCAAAATAGAGTAAATATAAACTGGCAAGACAGTTGCTAGCTGGGTCACCTTGTGGTAAACCCTTAATCTGTTGATAATAATTACCATTATGATAAACATAATTCTCTTTTAGAACTATTTTGAAAATAGTTTCACAGACAACTTAGAATTTTACTTTTTTCGTTATATTGATATAATAATTTTTGGCAAGCAATACAACTTTAAACCTAATATCAATTTTTATCCACAATATCTTAATTTAATACAGACAAATAGTAACAGTTATGAAGCAAATTTTCTTGATATAGAAATTAAATTAAAAGATAATAAAATAGTTACTAATATTTATGATAAATGAGAAGACTTTAATTTCAATATTATAAAAGTACCGCATTGGGAGAGTAATGTGCATGTATCTATATTCAGAAATATTGTTCTTAATTACACACTGCGCAATAAATTTCTAGTTTCTAATAAATCAGAAATAATAAAAAATTATAAACATTTTACTAAATACTGTTTAATTCAAATCTACCCAATTAATTTTATTAATAGATATTTAAATAAAGAAATTCTAAATAGTAAGGATTAAATTTCCATAGTTTTAACAGGTTAATATTATAGATTTATTATTCTTCCTAGATAGTTTTAAATACCCCTGATTTCTAGTTTAGATAAAATTACTTTTTTAAAATTTATTATAACTTTTAAATTATATTAAGAGTCTCTAAGTTAATGGTAGTATGTTTACAATTCTTATTTTATTATTTCTATTCTTTTCATACTTTTGCTAAGTGCTATTTTTCAGCCATTGCTTTGTTTTGAAATTGTATTTGGGTCCAGAATCTGGCAATAACTTGTTTATTGTACTCAGATTTAGCGCGGTATTATTAACAGAAAGGGGGAAGGTTGGCTGGCCGAAAAACATGTTCAACCCCACTTTTATACAGAGAAAATTTGTTTAAGAGAAATTTTTTTTGTATACAAGCTGTCCTAAGTCAGCAATGTTGATAATACTGAAGCATCCATTATTTTATATTCTGCTCTGTTATTTCAATTTTTCATATCTCCTTTTAAATTCTGTTGTCTTGTTATCTAGCAATTGTTATTCTTTTAAGTATTAATCATGTTAATTCATCTCTATCTTGTAGAGAAATTTTGATTATATATATATTAATTATATTAACAACACATTTTTATTTTTATTTGGAATAGCTAAAAAAAATACGCACCAATATTTTGCAAATATCCACGAACATTTAAAATTACACAAGAGAGAAATTAACAACAAACGCATTTTCAATACGTTGAAGTTGCAGTATATACATTTTTATTTTATTTTTAGAATAAACATTTACATAAAACCCTTTACATACATAAACAGTCACAACCACTAATAGAGTCTCATTCCTCTTTTTAATGGTCATTTTTGAGATAAATTTTTCGTGAAACTACCAAGAAAAGAAAAGGAATTCTGTGAATTTGATAACTCTGAAAAAGAGAAAATAAACGCTGAAAGAAAAGTTTCAAGATTTTTTCTTATGTATTTCGTAAATCACTGTCATAAAAGTCTTGAAACTTAAGCTGAAAATTCCTTTTCGAATGGATCTGTTTATCTCAGACATTTTTTTAGAATGTAAGAAAAAGTATTTTTCAGAGGCACAGGATCCGTTCCTGATCTTCGACGAGCAAATAAATTATTTATCATAAGAATCATTTTGGGTGAATATAAAATATGTGAGAGCATATGAATTTTTCTCCAATTTTAGTCCACAATAAATCATAATAAAAGGTTTTAATATTTGTCTATATTTTGTGTACGCTTTGAGATTTTAAACTATAATAAATGAAAATATTTGTAATATAATAATACAAATATCACTGTCAGTAAAATTAAAAACGAAGAAATATAAATATACAGATACATTAGTTTCCATAAGTTTTATTTAAGAAAATAATTATATTCATTAAAAAAAGTTATTTTTTAACCATACTCCCTAATGAGTTTATTTTATATTCTACGAGTAAAAGAAAAACTAAGAATTCTTGATTTGAAATCTGTGAATATCACATCCGCTTATGTTTAATTATTTAAGCTAAATCATTTATTAAAATTTATGAACCTTGAATTATATAATACAAGTTTGTTACATTATAATGTTCTAATAGTTTAATAGTTGTTAAATATGCGATTGTAAATCTTTTTTCCCCATGTGAATATAAATAAATATATTTATACATTCAATTTTTTTCTGTTTTTTTTTAATAACTCATTAGAAAGATGAAATTTCTTTTCGTATACTCACGTTAAATTTTAAAGGATTCAGTATAAGAAATTAAGAGCTCCGTAATATTTTAAAAGAAAAAATAAATCTTGTGCTTTTGAATTAATAATAATATAAAGATAATTTAAACAACAAAATGCTAATCTTAAGTATTTTGTTTAATTTTAAATAATAGTTTGAATAATGTGGTATTATTCCATAGGAATAGTAACAAAAAATATTATTAAGTATCAGGAAGAAAAAAAAATTAATTTTTAATAAATAAATAATTACAAACACCATTTTATAATAATTTTCTTTTCTACCTGACCTCTTATTTTTTCATTATTATAGTTTATTTGAACTATAAAAATTATTCTTATGCTATTCGACCAAAGTGTAATGATTACACTTTTTTATAGCACAACGAAAGGAAACATATGTCATTTTTTATTTTTTTAGTACAATTTATATTATTTCATTTCTTTTAAGTATTACTTTTTAATGGATTTGCTATATCTCAGAAACAACAAAAATATTTCTCTAATTATTTATTGCTTTAAGTTTTTCAGTAATAGCTACCTTTTTAAACAACAAACTCCTTGCAATTTTCAGACTTAACAAATCATTTGTTAAGGATTTACCTCACAATTGTTTGGCTTAGCATCATTAAAACACCAAACACACAATAATGATGTAATTTAATAAGATTCCTAATACTACACTCCAATGGACAAAAATGTGTTTAAAAACAATGCGACTAAGAGACAGTCAATTTCACAAATTGTTTCAGCTTTTCGGATTTCACGTACAATTAACTAATAGAATCATTATTTTTAGATTATCTTTAGTAATTTGTAGGGTTTTTTTATTCCTTTAATTTAGCTTTAATACTTATTTCTTGATCCACTTCCTCTCTTAGCTTATAATCATATGTGGTTAAAATTTAGATATTCTTTCTTTTCGTCTGCATACTTCCGGAATGTTATGTATAAGCTATTTGTACTTTTTTTATTTGGTGTTTGATAAAAAAAATTCTTCTTGAATACAAGTTTACACAATATATACGCACACTGGTCAATAAGTTAGAAACCATTGCGATTTCTTTTTGAATGCGTGCTAGGGATGCATTATGCACATTTTTAATGAGGTGGTTACACATGGTTAGAACGCTAGTATAAATAAGGTGGAAGAGTGCTTTTCACGACGAATGAAGAAAAACTACAGATCTTTCACCATTTGAAAAAAGCTTTATTGTTGGTACCCATTCAGCAGGGGCCTCACCTTTGAAGACAGCAAATCTCAC